GAGGCGGAAGATCTTCCTTCTCCTCTTGGAGGCGCGTTGAATGTAGTTTCCATTATTTTCATCGTACTAATCCATTATGCATCAATGGAGTTGTGTATTATGGAGCTATTGCATATGGACCGACCAGATATCCGATTGTGAGTTTTGATGTTGGATCTGAACGGTTACTTCTCATGGAAGGACCACCTAAAGAAGAGGAGTTAGTTCATCTAATAGACTACCAAGGGAAAGTAGCCTGCTTTTGCGTCACCATTGATAAGAGTTATAGTTTGTGGATTCTTGATGATGTTAAGAAGCAGCTTTGGTCCAAGACTTGTGTTTTTTCGCCTTCTTTTTGTGATTCATATCGGAATTTCAACCTAAGAATCTTCGGCACCACTGATGCTGGGGAGATCATTTTTGTGTCGACTTTAACTGCTGAAGGTGACTTTGAGCTTTTCTATTGGGATTTAAAGAAGAACAATGTGAGTAGAAGAGCTAGAATTGGAGGTATCACAGAATATGAAGAACTTATGTGTACACGTAACAATAGTGTTTTCAGTATGCCTAGTTCATGCGACCATGTGGAGAATATTATTTCTTTCTAGGTTAAGACAATTCATTTTATATATTACGTCTTTAATCTTTATTGATGATCCGGTGGTGGTAACACCAAGTCAACCCGGTAAAAAAAATGGCAAAGAGCCAAAGATTGAGCAGCAAGTGATATAAAATACTCGTAACATTATTTTGACGTCTTGGTTAATAAGCTCAAACGTTTTAAAATTTAAAAACACTTTCAACATAGAATCACCAAATTAACTATTTTTTCGTATGTGTTGTTCGTTTCTATAGGAAAATATTAATAATTTCATCTTTTCATCATATTTCTTTTTTTATCTAATAGTTTAACAAATAGTTTAGCCAAGTTTGCTCTTATACGTTGTAATGATTCATTTTTATGTGAAAGCTAATTCTATTCTTTTTATTTTTTGAATTGAAATGGTTGTACACACAGTTAACTTAAAATTTTTTAAGTTTGTCATAAAAATTTGGATGTTAATGTATAAGTCTCAAAATATATGTATATGTAAGGAATTTTTACTATTTTATTTGTTTTTAGTTATTTATATAATTTTCCTATTTTAATATTATTTTAGCATTTATTATTTATATAAATTTTATACATAATTCTGTATCTTTAATAATTTTTAAAAATAATAATAGAATTTGGAAACTTTCTTAATTTTTAATATTATGGTAGACAATAAAAATTTGATACATAATTTTTTTATTCTTTTATATATTTTTTTTAGTAATAATATTAGTATTTATAAACTTTTTTAATTTTAAATATTGATGTAGACCAATAAAATTATTTTTTTTAATTCTACGTGGACACTCTAATAAACATTTTTATCTTTAATTTTTATTAGTATATAAGATACTCGTTACCGCTATGGTAAATAGTTACAATCAAAACTTAAAATTAATCAACTGCATATATATATATATATATATATATATATATATATATATATATATATAAAAAAGTTTAGGTTGCACTAGGTTAGATTTCACTGCAGTATTCAAGCAACAAAACAAACTCGAATCACCATGATGACCAAATGGGACCATTTCTTTGCGCCTTTGGATCTCAATTATATATGATTATTTCTTCTCTATCTTTGATCTTCAGGTTTAGTAATACATTGAAGTCGGGAAGTGGCTAAAGTCATCTTCATATACGTAACGATCATCTCTGAACAATGTATGTATCTTCTCATCTTTACTTAGTATTCGTTTGTTTAGTGGCTTAGCTTCATCCAAAGAGTTATAATATCAGTGATAGGTTCACTTAATACTTATGAGATAAAAACTCAAACACATATTTGTGATTGGAACCCATAAGAGATACATCAATTGTAACATGAATTTGAAATGAAGCCAAACGAAACATTAATAAAGGTATAGATGATACAAAAGAACTATCTACGAATATTCCCAGCTACTCTTAACAATATTTTGACGTCTTGGTTTAATAAGCTCAAACATATCGAATATGCAGGCATTGATTTTGCATTGAATCAGTTCACTAATGCCTGGTGACATGCAGTTTTACTAAGAACATCTTTCTGTATTTTTTTTTAATAATTACTATGAACATTATTTCTTTGTTCCTAACAATAATTTTCCCCAAAACAGCCAATAGAACATATATTCACCAAATTAGCAATTTCTGTTTGTGTTATTCTTTTCTGTATGAAAACATTAACAAATTCATCTTTAAAAAAAAATTGTTAAGTTTCTAGCTTAGGATTTACTTGAATAGGCTAGAAATATCAATCGATATCTATGAAATTATAAACACTTTCTTTCGAGTTAAACATGGGGAATAAGTATAACACCGAGCTCTTGCTTTAGAGATCGGTGTGGCCTTTTGACACATGCTTCTGTTCCCAAATAAATCTTAGTGGACCACTTGATTTATCGATCAATCAGTTACATATTCTCCTTGTTTTTATTAATCCAAAAAAAGGTTTTGAAAAGTTGCATATTAATTTAGATGAGAATTTGTCTTGTTGGTTTCATGATAAATTTGAGTTATCAAAAACAGTTCCGATATAAATATACTTACAAATTGTCCGCTGTAAATTGCTCTTGAAGTAATTCTTATCATTTGTAACAGTTTTTTCTTAAAAAATATTTAATTAATATCAGTTTTAAAACACGGTAGACATACTCAAATGCAGACATGTCTCACCTATAACGATGGTGTACAATGATCAAGATGCTTATAATTGAAACAAGAGCTGAGCTTTTATAGGCTCGAATATGGGTGTTTAAACAATAAATAAAAAATTAAAATTAATACAAATAAATTAAAATAATTAAATAATAAATCAATCATTTAATCCTTGATTTTTATTTTTGTCAAATGAGGCAAGTGTGAGGTTTTTTTTTTTTTTTTTTTTTTGAAAATGTGAAGTTTCCTTGTATCTAGACAACTTGAAAACTTCTTGTTATGTGTAAGGAAGTATTTATCACACTCATAGGTCAAGAGAAAAGGATAGAAGTTTATGCTTCAAACTTAACTCACTCATTTGGCTTTTTTTTTTTTTTTTTCACTCATTTGGCTTGGTTTATGCTTCACCCAAATCTCCTTATTTATAGTACAAACTACAAAGTCTCAGAAATATTTTATGAATACTCCATGAACTATATTTACAACGTATTCCATATTCTCATGATTAACTTAACCTATTCAACATTCTCATGATTAAGTTAACTTATTCAACATCCTCATGCTCATGGTAATAACAACTTTTTCAACACATCTAATTATTATAGATTAGGGGTGGGAAAAAAACCGAACCGAACTAAACCAACCGAACCAACCGAACTTAAACCAAACTGAACCGATCCATTTTTAATATATAACCTATTTGGTTGAAGTTTTTCACAACCCGAACGGTTCGGTTCGGTTTGGTTTTAAACCGAACCAAACTAAAAAACTAATATACTTATTTTATTTAACTTTTTAGTTAGATCATAATATTAGTTTTTTGAAATATGGTGGAATGTTAAATTCACCTAAACCAACACATAATTTCTTTTCTTCAAACTGATTTTTTAAAAACTGAATTAAAATTAAACCAAACTAAAACCAAAGCAAACTAAACCAAACCGAATTCAAACCGAACCAAACTTATTTCAGTTGAGTTTGGTTAGAATTTTATTAAACCCGAATTAACCAAACCGAACCGAACTCAAACCGAACCCGAAAATAAACCAAAGTGCCCACCCCTATTATAGATCATATAGCTTTTTATCACACATCTAATTATTATAGATCATATAGCTTTTGATCCGATGACATTATTATAGAGCAAAAGTTCAGGAATTTCTTGGTAAACAAAATGTAATATGGTTACACACCCGTTTTAAATCCGAACTTCCATTTTCAAAGAGAATTTAAAAAGCACAATCGTTGCATCTCTCTCTCCCTCTCAAAACCCTAGCCGCACATAAAAATCTCTTTGCTGCCTTTCCGGTCTGGCGACTTGTTTTGCCACCGTGAGAGGGCTCTCTGTAAGTTCATTGTAGATCGAGCTTCATGATGGTAATGAGAATCAATGTGAATCCAGGTCTCCCCTTTTCCTCTCCGGCTGTGCTGAGGCGTGGAGTAGTCGCTGCGGCGAGGCGGAGCAGTGGACGGTGCCTCTGAGACTATTCATGGTGCGCTCACTCCTACCGCTTCAGATCCGCTCGAGGACAGCGGTGACGAGATGTCGGAAGGAGAGCAATCCAGATTCGCTCGCTCCTATCGCTTCAGATCCGTTCGGGGATGGCGGTGACGAAAAAATGTCGGAGGGAGAGCAATTGATCGATGTGTCAATGGGTACTAGAAGCAGCTCCGTAGCGGAAATCGTTGTGGCGGCTCGGTGGGTTGCACGGCGAGTCGAGGTGAGTTCAAGGCGCTCGGTTTTCCAGCGTTTCTCTCCTTGACCGGATCGAGGTCTAGGGTCAGAGTTTACCAATGGCAAATGGTTTCTCTGGTTTGCCGTTGTCGGCCTTTTGGTAAAGTTTGAGGACCGCTTCTCCAACTGTGAACCGCAGTCGGCTAACCAGGGTTATCCGGTTTAGTTAGGTTATTTTGCCTGGTTTTATCTTTGTAAACCATTACCAATTCCCGGTTCGGGTTGATAAATAAAATATATTTTCTTAAAAAAAAAAAAAAAAAAAAAAAAAAAAAAAAAAAGAAAGAAAAAGAAAGAACTTCCATTTTCGTTTTGTGAAAGTCACGTAAGAGTATGAAACCGATGGTTACACACCTTTTTACATGATTGTCCCCACTTCTCGGCAATGTCTCTCAAATTTCAACTATTCGGCTAAGGTTTTGCTCACGTGTCATTTCTCTATTAGAGAATCACAGATCTCCATGGACCCACACTCCACTCCCGGCGCGTCCGCCACAGTCGGCACTTTCAGACCATGAAGAGTCAAGAGAGAAGAAGAAAGCTGACTCCAATCTCATTAATAAAATAATTATAAAAAAACAAAAATTAGAGAGAGAGAATCATGTCGTCGTCGAGACTGTGCGACTCGTGCAAATCGGCGGCCGCGACTCTGTTCTGCCGCGCGGACGCGGCGTTTCTCTGCGGCGAATGCGACGGAAAGATCCACTCGGCGAACAAACTCGCCTCGCGTCACGAGCGAGTCTGGCTCTGCGAAGTCTGCGAGCAAGCTCCGGCACACGTCACGTGCAAGGCGGACGCAGCCGCGCTCTGCGTCACTTGCGACCGAGACATCCACTCCGCGAATCCACTCTCTCGCCGCCACGAGCGCGTCCCCGTCACGCCTTTCTACGACGCAGCTCCCGGAGGAGGATCGGCGAAATCCGCCTCGTCAGTCAATTTCGTCGACGAAGACGCTGATGTCAGCGTGGAGGCTGCGTCTTGGCTTTTTCCTAATCCGAGTATTAAGTACGGAGGAGGAGAGATCCCTAATTTGTTTTCGGATCTAGATTACTCGGCGGTGGATCCGAAGATGGAGGCGTCGGAGAATAGCTCCGGCAACGATGGAGTCGTTCCTGTGCAGAACAAGTTGTTTCTCAACGAAGATTACTTCAATTTCGATATCTCTACTTCCAAAACATTCACACAGGGACCCAGCTGCATTAATCAAACTGTATGTAACTCTCTCTCGCTTTTCATCAATCTGTAATTTCCTGTTTAGCTGGAAAAGAAATTATTCAGATCTAGATCTGGAAAAAAATTGATCTGATGCGAGGTTGTGAAATATTAGGTTTCGTCGGCATCACTAGATGTAGCGCTGGTGCCTGAAGGCGGAGGTATGACGGAGATATCGAACACCACGACGACGACGACGGCGACACCAGCCGTGCAACTGTCACCGGCGGAGAGGGAGGCTAGGGTATTGAGGTACAGAGAGAAGAGGAAGAATAGAAAATTCGAGAAGACGATACGGTACGCATCGCGTAAAGCATACGCTGAGATGAGGCCGAGGATCAAAGGACGTTTTGCGAAGCGAACGGATTCGAGAAGCAACGACGGAGGAGACGTCGGAATCTACGGCGGATTCGGCGTCGTCCCAAGTTTTTGAGTCTTCACTTTCGATAGTAACGGTTATTAGAAAGATTACGAATTATAATTTATAAGAACATAGTCGTCTGAAAATCATTTTTCACAACTAGAATTTTCGATTTACCCTCACTATATGTTGTAATCGGTTGACCTAAAAAATTCAATAAAATGTAATACTCTCTTCAATCAACTGATTAATTTATAGAAATGCATAATTAGGAAAACTCGAGAAAGAAACACAATATCCAAGTAACCAAAATTGAAAATTCTCTTCAAATTTCAAGGAACATGCGACAAAAAACCAAATAATAAGAAAGAAACATTTCATGTCTAAGAATTCGGACACTAAAAAGGAGAAGAAACTGAAGACGAAGCTTACATTCATTCTTGAGCATAGTCGGACAAGACGACTTCCTCAGTGACATCAATAACATCCTCAAACTCAACTTCTTTGGCTTCATACTCATCTTCTTCCTCATCACTGATTTCACCATCCCTGAGATTCTGCCTTGCGAGTTTCTCCTCTTCGTGCAGTGACTTCCACTTCATCACCCACTTCTCCCATTCTTCCTTCAACGCCTTCCTCTTCTCTCTGTCTTGTTCACTCAACAGCAACGACACGTCCTGATCCTCTGCTTCATACTTCTTGCTATACTTCTTCAAGTTCTTCGCCACCTCTTCTTCCTTCTCTGGAGACAAGAATGATGGCGGTCTTGGGCGCCACGCCAACTGCCAACCATGGAGAATCACAGTATATTTAAAATTAGACATCGCAACGGATGTAAGCTTAGTTTGAGACCAATTCTATCGTTTACGTACTTGGAAGAAATGATCCTTAAGTATCCGGTAAAGCAAATTTCCGTTGAAAGACCAGATGCTGAAACCATTCTCCATCTCATGGACTGATGTCACTGCGGTTGCAACGTACCTATAAAGTAGAACCAATGGCAAACAGCATCACTTTCTGCAGTTCGAACAAAGAGAAACCACCAATGAGGAATGGTTTAGCTTTAGTACCTTCCAGTTGGGTCCCATTCAATGTCTGTGGCCATGAAGTGTTCAGCTGTGGCCATCGTCTCGAGCTCATCCACGTTGAAGAATTCAAGCTGGCCATTGAAACCTTTCAACCCAGCAAGAATTATGTACTTGCCTGTAGGCGACCAGAAGAGGGCATTGGCTTGTTTGGCCTTCAAAGTACCGAGCTTTGAAACCCTTCCAGTGTTCTGTGCGGTCTTCATCGAGTAGAAACTGACATCTGGCCTTGGTTGGTCACCATGAATCACGGCGAACCTGTGACCCTTGGGCTCCCACGCGAAAGCAATGATCTTGTCGTTCTTGTTGTCCAGCTCAAGAACCTCGATTGGAATATCCCTTTCTTTGATGCGGAAAAGCTCAAATCCAGAGTATGTGCTCTTCTTTGTTTTTGTGTATCGATCAACCTTGACAGCGAGATACTCTCCACTACTCTGCCAGTACATCTTGCAGTCGCTCACGCTGAAGAGATTCTTCTGCCTTAGCTCCACCTTGCCAGGGATTTGGACAAGAGCGACCTGAGAATAAGGATATCAACATGTTAACTACAAAATAATTGGCTGAGGCACGAAAGCAAATTGATGATTTGGGGCTTCAAATTTGCATAAGAAATAATCGAAGTATACCTTGGCAGGCTGGTTCCCACCACCTTGTTCAGGCACAAACAGTGAAAGGATGGAATCGGTAGGAGACCAGCAGATGTCCACAACATTATCAACCTTCATGGATTTTTTGTCTATTAAGCTGAAAGTCTCAGTCTCATAGACAGATATAGTGTTTTTGCTGAGCCTGGCAAAGTATTTATCATCTTTTCCACCAGCCCATCTGCAGAAAAAAGTTTAAAAGATATCAACAAATGTAGAGGATACATTTTGATTGTGTATTTTGGGAAATCCAAACGCAGTTCAAGAATATTACCTGAAAACAGGCCAAGAGGCACCAGCAACACCACCAGGTCCTCCAATTGAAAACTCATCAGCATTACCCTTGAAATCTCTCATCATCCTCCCGGTTCTCACATCAAAGACCTTTATCTCTACTGTCTGAAAGTTGGACAGAAATCAGGATCCTTTCAGTAAAAATGAAATACAAATAAAAATTGAAAAGAACAGAAGCAAAGATGCACTCACACTTGCATCACGCGGGTTGCTTGGTTCTTGGCTATGGTAAGTTACCAGGTATTTCTCACCTGGCGAGAAATCGACTAATTTTACCTTCAATGGAATCAACCAAAAAGGTCAAACTTCAGGCCAACATAGATAACAAAAGCAATACATAGCAATCAAAAGAAAAGTCGAACCATATTATGCTGATAACGCATGAGACGGGTGAAGGTATCAGCACCACCCCAAACAGCTGCCCCCTGCTTGTGAAGTGTCACAAGGTATGTACCCAGAGGAGACCACTGCACATAACTCTCTGTCCAATACTGCAAAGGAAAAGAACATTATTAATTTACTATGGTAACATTACATATACCATTTCATATAGCAGTCAAGTAACAAATATGAGATTTTCACAGGAGGATGTAGGTAACTTACAGGACGCTTATGAACAGGTTCAGGCTTCTTTTGCCTAGCATCATTCCATAAAACTTCAGTATCAGGGCCAGAACGGATGACCAACTGATCCCGAGCCTTTTCATCAGTAAGCCACTTTTGCAAATTTTCCTGAAAACGTACACAATATATGTGACGAGAACAAGCACATGAATAAACTACATGCAACTAAACTATGATGTAGCTGGGAAACACATAAAATCACTGAATCAACCAGTGATTTGCCAAAATAAATACTCTATTCCACAATCGCAGTGGAAATGTTATCAAAATACATGCCAAGTAGAAACACTGCCATCATTAAAGTGATAAAAACTACACATACCCCTGGCACATATGGCCTGGCTTGAGGCGGCTCCCACTCCTCTTTCACATTCATCAACCGGTCAAAATCATCGAACATGTTGACGGCAAAGATATGAGACCTGTCTAGCTTGTAGCCTTGACTCTTCTCCTTGGCGTTTTGAGCTTCCTGCAAACAACCCAAACAATGAGACAAAATCTTAGCAAACTGGATCAAAACTTAACAAAGATAAGACAATACTCTGGAGAACAGTTTAGTTACTCCAACCATCTAACAAGAGAAATAGAGTGTTGAAACTTCTGTGTCTTACATCATTACTCCAGTAAAAAGAAGATCAAGCTAACTAAACAGAGACATGGAAAAAGGAATCCTAATGACATACATGTAAGCTAATTAAGCTGCGAGTAAATAAATAACCTGAGGGGTATTGAACTCAATGAAACAGTAGCCTAATGTAGTCCCGGTATCGGGTTCGACGGGCATCCACAGTCCTCTCTCCTTGATGACACCCAACTGGTTGTAAATCTTCTTCACAACACCTTCTAGTTTCTCAAACTTCGCCGCGGGAACAACAGGGAGGTTATCAACCACGATAATGTTGCCGAATCCAGTGTCGAATTCTAGCTGGTCATCGTGGTAAACTTCTTCATCATCACTAACACCACAATAAAATCAAAAAGATCATAAAGAATCAGTTCCACTGTTCATACGTTCCCGAAATAATACATAATAAGCTTCGCACCATCAAGCTAGAGATAAACAAACGCATATTATTCGAAATTTCATGTGAAAAAAGAAGCCAAGACATTAAAAAGACTCGAAATCAAATCGTGCACAATTTTTTAGAGAAGAACTATTCAGGTTTCTCGCATTCCCAACGAATTTTCAACGGAAAAAGGCAGAGATCTAATAGAAAAAAACTCACCTCTCAATCCCGCAGTCTTCTCCAGAAGGAACTTGGATTGAATTGAGATCGACCTGAGACCAATCAATCCTTAACTGAGTCGCACGGGCATCAATATCCACGTCCGCCATGGTTTTCGAAAACTTAGATCGCAGATTCTCTTTATCTCTATAGGTACCGAGAGAGAAATAGATTCAAGAGGGAATGGATTCTTGAGGAAGAAACTCGAGGAAGCGCGACTGTTAGACCTGGAAGGAGAGTGTGCCTAGGGTTTTTAGATTGTTTTGCAGTTGCTGATAAGGGGATGAACACAGAATATTATCTTGACGGATCAATGGATCATGTAATTAGTTTGGATCTACATCTTCTAAAGCCCATTATCATAACGGCCCGATTGTTACACCTGAAACTAGGTGTGGAAAAAAAAAAAAAAACCGACCCCAACCAGTTTATACCCAAACCATTTTATAAAGTTTTTCCGTCAACCCAAACGGTTCAGTTTAAAAATTAAGGAGATGCTTGGTAAAAACTTTTAATATTTTAATTTTTAAGAAAAATTAAAAGTCTCAAATTAGCCAAACAGATTTTATATGTTTTTAAGTACTAAATAAACTCCTAAAATTTCTCACAGCCCAATTCCTTTATTTTAATCATGACAAAAAAAAAAAATCATGGGATGGTTTTTTTTTCAAAAGCTAAGAAATTGTGGGTTATATATTTCTTAGAATACTGTTTGTTTCAAAAAATTAAAGCTTGATTGGCATAGACTGTAAAGATTTTTTAACTCATTTTACAGTTTTAAAAATCTTTTTTTAACCAAATAGACTTTTAAAAGTTTTTTTTAATTTTAAAATCTTAAAAACCAGACTTTTTTGTCATGGTTTCTAAAAACTACGTAAGAAGAGCTTTTACAAAAAACAATAATTAAAGTAAATACATTCAATTTCTTTTTTATTCTCTTTTCCATAATCATTCAAAAGACTTTGTATATTTATATATAAGTAATAATAAACTAAATTTAATTGATTAAGTATTATCTTTTTAGGTCTATTTTCTTTTAAAAATTTTCAATTAATTTGTATTTTCTTATTTTTTATATATTACATATGCTAATATATGTATTTTAATAATTTATTAATGTTTTCAACAAGATTTGAATTTGGCTTAAATTATATATTTGACTAATAAAAATATTTATAATTTAAAACATAATAGTTAATTTTAAAGCCAAAAGTCTACAGTAAAAGCTGAAAGTAAAAGTAATTACCAAACAAGCCCTTAAAGTTCTAAAGTTTTTAGTTTAAAATAATAGTAAAAAGTCACAGTCCTTACTAAGCAACCTCTAAACTTAAATGTTTTTTCATAATTTCAAGTATTTTTGATCATTTTTAAAAAATAATAATAATAAAAATTAGACTATCCGAATGGATGATTCTACCCCTCAAATATTATCCTATTTATTTTAGCATCAACCAAATATATATTGAGTTCTCAAAAATATGTAATTTTTATACTATATGTAATTTTTCTTTGTTAGTTTAAATATTGTTATGTTTTTGAATTTTTTTTTTAAAGATGGAAATGCATTTGTTCTGCTTATAAAAAGATTACATAACTGTATAATTACCTGTTAATTTGATCTACTGAAAGTATAAATAAAAAGATTACTATTTTAATTGATAAAAAAAAAGATAGATAGAAAATTATGTTTTATGGAAGCACCTACACAAATCGCTAGATAGACTGCACTATTCTCACATTCCCATTCGCACCCCAGTTGTCAATGTACATCATTATTACCTAAGAATCTATATAGAGTAGTTTACATGTTATGACACTTTCTGAGTTATTATTTACAGTTTTTGACACTTTACTTTGAAATGACACTTTATGGGAGTTTATACAAGTGAAAAGCATTTGTTATCCTTCTGTGGAAATTGTGTTTGTTGGACTGGTTAAATTTAAGTTTCTAAACCAAACTTTTTCTCTGTAAACCGAATAATGACCAAAACTGAAAAATAATAATAAGAAGAAATAAAAAAAATAGCAGAATTCTCTCTCACACAAATTTTCTCTTTCGTAACTTTTGCTTTCTCAGATCTATCTCTCACACCTTCTCAGATCCACAGTTTTGTCTCTCTCTCACCTTCTCAAATCCATCTCTATTTCTTCTCTTCCTTTGATTTACCGCCTTATCAGACCCCAACCTCCGATTTAACGCCTTATCGCCCACCACCGCCTCTGAATCATCCTCCCCCAAATTGTAAGGCTCCTGTGGATCTAAAACTAAAGGTAACGACGATTCTAACTCTGAAGTCACTGTCTCCGGCGTCGATGTGGCTGCTCTTAATCCTACGCTGCATGGTTTATCTCCTCGCCTATGAAACAAGTTATATGGACAAGTACACAATAGTTTATTAATGGACATGTACACATAAGTTTTGTTCCGAAGAAAAAATTGGGAGATAAACGTTAGGTTTGTTGTGTTCACAAATACACATTATTGAAGCTATGTCCTCGTGAACACGTCCATTCTAGTATCAATAGATACCAATGATCTCATCTTCGCTTAATATGAAAACAAATAGAAAAAAAATATCCAATATGTCCATGTCCATATAGATATAACCATATTTTATTAAATGCTTAAAATGTATCACGTTTGGAAACGTGGATGCGTCCATGTTGAAATGTCGTCGTCACCAACGTCGCCGACGGTGATGAAGAAGTTGTGCCCAATCAGCAGAAAGGCAGAGGAGAAAGAAGATGAGCCAGGCTTTGTGGAAAAGGTACTCTGTGGTGCTATCAGCGCGAGACAGAGAAAAAGATGAAGAAGATGGAGATTGTGGTGGTGGTGGTGAAAAATTTGAGGTCTCCATTGATGGAGAAAAAAATGACTATATTTGTGATAAGGGGGTGGATAAGTCCATCTTTACGTGGATGGTTAGACTATATTCAAGTTACCATTTGAATTGAGATGATATTGTGAACGTGACTATATTCAGACCATATTGTGGACGTGACTATGTGACTATAAAAAATGAATATGGATATAGACATATTTAGTGGGGAGAGCATAAATAATAAGTTTTATTATAGCCATTGGATGTCCATATCCATTCAGAATGATATATGGATATAGCCATCAATAAGATTTTACATGTTTGCTTTACATAAATAAAATGGTGGATAAGCTATACATAAAAATTATGGTCATGTGGACGTCGTCGATATAAATGATTAATAATTTCAACCAGATCAAAGTTAGTCTTTCTTATTGCTGATTAACTCAGATAATTCAGGGTAGATATATTTTTGGAGACCTTCGATACCCACACCGAGAGTTTATTATGGATGTGTTCACATGGCATTGTCCACACTCCACATTATGTGTAAATGCAAAACTTTCGGCGATTTACATAGAGATATTCTGAAAGATCTGCAATAAAAAGCAAAACTTTGCTTATTTGGATACGACCATATATAGATAGGTCGTTTTTTTTTTCTTCCAAATGTGTCCATATAAACAGTAGGCCACCTAATTATTTGAAAAAGTACACATATACATAACCATAACTATGTGGTCTGCAATTGAAGTAGGTATAGTTGGATAATGTACACAATAAACGAAACATATTTCCCCAAATGTTCTCTGGCAAATAAAATTTAGGATTGTATATTGCGCTGCACGAGAAGGGTCTCTTTGATTTCAACACCAAAGCTCTTTTGTTGAAGCAGAGACCGCCAAATCCACCGCAGGATTTCTTCGCCGGCAGAACGGAAGCTCGTTTAGCAAAAAAAGCACGAGGTGGTTTGGGTTGTGGCCCCCGCTGCAGTAATCTATCTCGTAGCTGCCATTATTCTGGAAATATTGTGTGGCTCACTCCTTTCTTCTTTTTTTTTTAACACAGTTATTGTATTTTATTAACTCAAAAGAGGAAACAGAGTTTAAACCAGAAACATAACAAAACAAACAAAGGTTACAAGGCCAACCATCAGGTCGAATACGCAGAAGCATTCGACTTCTCACTCCTTTATTCTTCAGAGAAGACAAAATCAATTAAAAAAAAGTAAATCGATTATACCTGATGAAGAAGATTTTCAATAAACCGATAATGGTTTGATATTAGTTATAACCGGTTTAGTTTTAGCTGAAAGTTGGCACCGGGGGTTTGAAGTCTTTTCTCATGAAATTTGTAAGAGAAAATGTCATCAGAAACAAAAATGTCATATTTTATAAATATAAACTCAAAAAGTGTTATCTGGTGTAAATATTTCATCTATATAACGTCTTCTTTAGAATGCTGGAGTCAACAAACATTGCACATGCTTCAACCCTAGAGACAGTGATTAAGGCCTCGAATGTATGTGGTTTTTATTAAGGGAAAAACTCTTATCTTATTGTTTCCATAAGCAGTGTATATATACATTACATAACTAATGTATCAGAAACCCTAATGGGCCATGAGACATTAACCTGATGGTTAATGGGCCGGTTACTAGAAGTCCATTTGTTTATAACACTCCCCCTTGGACAAGGTAACCGTGCCTGTCACAAAACCGGGATCTCTATAATGCGCTGGGGAACGTTGCCTCATTAAAATCTTACCAGGAAAACCCAGTGGGAAAAACCATGGTGAAGGAAAAAGAGTACAACACGCATTACTCCCCCTGGTTTAGGCATCACTGTAGATCTCTAAGTCTACGCATTCCTATCTGATGAATGATCTTCCGGAGTGTAGAAGTCGGTAATGATTTAGTGAATAGATCGGCTGAATTTTCGCTTGATCGGACTTGCTGAACCTTGACCTGACCATCCTTCTGTAGCTCATGAGTGAAAAGAATTTGGGCAGAATATGCTTCGTCCGGTCACCTTTGATGTAGCCGTCCTTGAGTTGAGCGATACAAGCTGCATTGTCTTCATACATCACCGTAGGCTCCTTATCTTCGTCCATACCACAATCTGATCGGATATGCTGAGTCATGGACCGCAACCAAACACACTCCCTACTAGCTTCGTGAATGGCCAAGATTTCCGCATGGTTGGATGAGGTAGCGGCAATAGTCTGCTTCATGGATCTCCAAGATATGGCTGTTCCTCCATGCTTGAAAACATAACCGGTTTGAGACCGGGCACAGTGCGGATCTGAAAAATATCCTGCATCAGCAAAACCAACTAGACCATCCTTGTTATGGTTAGAATAAAATAATCCCAAGTCCTTAGTACCTTGAAGGTATCTAAGGATGTGCTTAATACCGTTCCAGTGCCTTTGAGTTGGACACGAACTAAAGCGA